TATTTCAAGCCTATATAATGTTACAGCACTGTTTAACTCCTTATATCATGCTTATTTTTTAATAGATTGTACTCAGTCTGTACAGTTTTTACTGTATAGGTAATAGATCAAACTGTAGGAATCTGTCTACATTAGACACACACACACACACACACCATTGCCTTCATCCAATCTGTGCAGGCGTCCAGTATGAGACTCTCACAGCTGCTGGAGAGTCCCAGTGACCAGTGAAGCCTTCAGCTATCCATCATTACATTACTGCAGGATACACATGTATGTGTGTGTGTGCGTGTGTGTGTGTGTGCGGTCTTTAGTTGTGTAAGAAGTTTACTGTTTTTTACCAAACCACCGAGTCTTATGAACCACAGATCTGTTTTCCGCAAGGTGATCCAGGGACAATGGAATACAGTGCGACCTTCCTCGTGCAACTTTATAATTACTCACTCCAACATATCATCAAACACTAGTCATTAAGTGTTGAAGGTGTGTGTGTGTCATTCGTTTGCCCTGACGTTACATGTATTTAGTGCAATTACCTATTTGTGAAGGGGTCAAACCGCTCGGCTTACGGCTGATGCTGCAGCGTCCCGCGAGTTCATTCCCTTTCCTCCCCCTCCCGCGCTCACATTGGGGTTAATGCAGAAAAACGGGTGTCGCATTGATTACATCAGCCCTCGAATGATGTCATAGTTACGTCAGGGACTGCCTTTATTTGGTCTAAGAGGAAATGATGCCATGCTTTGCTGGTTTTTAGGTCTGGCTGTTGCCGCAGCGTTCCGGACATGCCGTTTTGAGGGAAAGTAATTTTAATGAAAATGCTGCTTTCATTTGACCAGATTTGTGATTGATTGATCTGTTGTTACGTGTTACGGGTCAGGTCTGTCACGTCATGTCTTCTTACAGTATTTCATGTTAAGTGCATACTGTATAGGGTGTGAGAGAGAAAGCGCTCGTGTTCCCCTCCGTGATTAACGAGGGCTTCTCCGACAGCATCAGCGGCCCGTGAAACACGACTGTTAGAGAATCATTCCTTTTGTTTCAGCTGAATCTGGACAGATTTTGCTGATTTTTCAGAAAAGAGGCCAAACACACAACCGACTCATTTCTGAGAATCAGATCTTTTGATTCATTTGTTGTTTTATGTCTTCATGTGTTCCCAAACCTTGTGATTTGATCTTTTAAATCGGTTTTAATAAATGACAATGCTGAATATTCTAATCAAGATTATGCTTTTCCATAGCAAAAACTTTTCCATGCATTTAGAGCAGGGCTGTCCAAACTCGGTCCTGGAGGGCCGGTGTCCTGCAGAGTTTAGCTCCAACTTGCCTCAACATACCTGCTGGTAAGTTTCTAGTATGCCTATAAGAGCTTGATTAGCTGGTTCAGGTGTGTTTAATTGGGATTGGAGCTAAACTCTGCAGGACACCAGCCCTCCAGGACCGAGTTTGGACAGCCCT